CGACGACGGCGCCGCTATCCGCGTCCTCTCCGACGCCGACCCGGCCGCGCCGCGGCAGCAGCAGCCCACGGGCGCCAACATCCGTCGCGCGCTCGCGCGCCTCGTCGCCGACGCGCGGCCCGGGGACTCCCTCTTCTTCCACTACAGCGGCCACGGCACGCGCCTGCCCGCCGAGACCGGCCGGGACGATGACACCGGCTACGACGAGTGCATCGTCCCCTCCGACATGAACCTCATCACAGGTGCGCAGATCTGGAGATGCCCTTCCGTTTTCGTTTTGTCTCGTGCCATGTTGCTCCTGTAGCTGTTGTTCTGTCTCAAACTACCGGTTAGATCTGAGAGAGGTTGGTGAGATCTGAGAGAGGGACGTTATTTGATTGATTGTCATGTTTCTACGGCTTTGCGGATTTAGCACTATGGTAATTTCTGAATTTCTGATTGGATTAGTTTTTAGGTGACTATGATTTTGGGTTTGCTGACCCTTTTGACCTCAAGTACTACTACAAAGCAGAAAGGATCCCTGTAAGTTACTTTGTAGTAGCTTTGTACAAGACCACTGGCAGCTAGACTTTGTATTGTGGTAAGGACTTGACAGCAGCTAAAAACCCTTTTTTGGGGAATGCTTAGTGTGCCAAGACAAGTTTTTTGTGGGATGTGGGTGGACGCAACAGATCGAATTTGGTAGTGTTCGTCTTATTTTACGGTTTAGTACTCAATTGTCAGCATAGCTCTCTAGTCTCTCTGGTTCGTCCAACTGCAATTTCACATAAAACGCATATGCATATTATGTTGCTGTTGTCTGCATGAATGAATTTGATATGCACTATGTGTTTTTTGCCATGCATTATGCTGGTCTCAGCTGGAAAGAGTTTCTTACCAAATCATATGGCCACAAGCAACTAGGAGCAGTTCCTGCCCAATGCCAGCCAGCATGCAATTTCACTCTGATAGGATATATGTACTCTGATGTCAGCTTTATGGAGTTCTTAAGTTCACAGGCGAAGTAGCCTGTATACTCTGATAGACAAATGAGCTTGAGCGCTTTATAGATTTATCAGCCCAAGATGAGCAGCTCATATATAGTACTCGTAATAATAGTTTGGCCACAGGATATATATCAGAATTCAGAGCACACATCAATTCTGTTAACGGTGTTGATTAGCCATCAAGCAGATCATACTACAAATTAACCTGCTCGTTAATTAATGAAATTAAGGTACATAGTCATGCATGTGTCTCAACTCGTACGAACTCACTACTCATGCTCACTCCACTCTTCTCTCTACCATGTAATGGCACTGAAATTATTCAATCTCTGTATAAAAGGACTCACCAGTATATGCCACATTAAACTCCAACAGTATATACGTGTACAGTGTACTACAGGTTTAGCATAAAAAACAAAACTGCGTTCCAGCAGCCTTCGGTAGGTTTCTTTCTACCTACCTCAATTAACCTTTCTGAACATATGAAGATCCAACATCTAATTTATTTCTCATAGATGAGTGATGGACGATGCAGCGGAGGAGGCATACCGATGGCAGGTTGTAGCAAATCAGGAGGCCGCCGCCGTCGGGGGACGCTGCCGAGTGGAGAAACTACGTGGACGGTGGACGCTGCCGAGTGGAAAAACTACAGCGGACTGGTGAGATAACTGAAATTTCATAACAGCGACTCCATGCATGGTATGTTCCCCTTTTGCCATATTTTACATACGCATCTTATATATTCTTTGAGATCTAAGCCCTTAGAGACAATAGATTCTGATCTTCTGGTCTTTGCCTGCTGATGCTTTTATTATTCAAAGTGGTTCAGTTCCAGTACGTACACACTAGCCATATTATGACTTGCAGGATTTTTTTTACTTTTTGTACATTCCCATTTAAGTTTTCTTGCGATAGCACACTAATTAACAGAAAAACCTTATGGCATACGACCTTTTCTATGTGTGACGTATATGTAAAGTTAGTTTTCTCTTTAAAACATCATCCGTAGATAAGCTGAATTAGAGGGAAATTCATGGAAAGTGAACCAGCATACAAACCATAGTAATAATCCCAGTGAACTAGCTCTACAGACTAGCATACATGTTATTTAGAAACAAGGGGTTCGCCATGCTACAACAGATTCCTGACTAAATTTATCTATTCTACTTGGTCTTTTGATTTGAAACATCTATATATTCCTCATAAACATATTGGTTTTGCTACCAGCAGTAGGTGCTTTCTTTGTTCTGCAGCTGGGATTTCAGTAAAAAAAATGTTTAACCTTTAGTGAATATGCACAGTACCAAAACTTTGTTCTGCAGCTCACACGCCGCATCCGTGGCGAGAGGGCCTAGGCTGCTCTGTGCACGTCGTCGTCTTAGCCAGTTGTGTTAATCGGTGGAAATGCGAGAGGGCCACGCCTCACTAGTAATCTTGTTGATTGCCTCTGAACCTGAATGAACAGCCTTGCTCGTTTAGTTCTGTGTGTCCATATGATTTATGCCTTACTATTTTATTCTGTTGTTCCTTTTGATCCCTGTGACTGTTGCAATCAACTCTCACATGTACCATGATGCTAACTGGTAAATTAGGACAAGATATGTTTCTATTTTGCACTGCTCATACTGTACATACTGTGATTCATCTGATGGGTTTCTTGCACCTGCAAATGACAGCGTCATGATGTTGTCAACGGTGTGGCAGAGACAGAAGGTGTAACCAAATATGATGCAGGTGAAGCTGCTGCAGATCAGAAAGGTGAACACATGTTCGGCTGTATTAAGATATTTTCAGTAATTTAAAGCTGAAATGATATCCTGTGGCGAACTGGGATTATGGTCTGTCTCTTAAACTATCTTTGGTCTTGTCCATAATGCTTCCCTGCAGAGCAAAAAGGTTCAACAACCATGAAATCCTAGCTGAGGACGTGCGAGACTGGGATATAGCCAGTGACCGGGGGCAAGGGCAGCGTGCGCAGGTGCTTTCTTTGTTTTCAATCTAATTGTTGTGTGTTATTATCTTGAATACATTTCTCTTTTAATTTATTTTCAATCTGCCAAGCCTGGACATAGTTATTGTATCTTATTATCGTCTTTGGAAGTGGTCGGACCTTTCCGTGAACCCTGCGCAAGCAGGAGCTAACTAACAAGTTTTCACTTTCTCGACTGGGTGCAGGGTGATCGACAAGGACTACTGTGGCCCGATGGGAGTCGTGCTCTTCAACTACTCGGAGGCAGACTTCACCGTGAAGCCCCGCGACCGCGTCATACAGATTATCGTCCAGGTGATTGCAACGCAGGAGGTCCCCGGGTTGGAGGACCTCGACGCCACCGTCCGGACGTCACCGAGGTGGAGGACGACGCCACCGTCCGGAGTTCCTCAAGGTGGAGGACCTCGACGCTTTGTACATACATCTAGAGAAGTGGTCTGGTTAGGTTGGTGGTGAAACGCTAGGGAAGGTACCAACCTTTTGATGATGGTTGTGTGTGTCCTCGTAATCTCTTCGAGTTGAGATGTTGAATGATGCATCCATGAACACTACAAGTGTTAAGATGGTTCTATGAAATTTATTTTGCACTGGACGTGTCTCTGATCTCCATTCATGAATACTGCATCTATTTTTTTTAATTCCTAATTTGCTACTAGTAGCGTTGGGAAAAAAGTGCCCTACTAGTATTTAGGATACTAGTAGCGCTGGTATTGTAGGCACGCTACTACTACTTCATTAGTAGTAGCATGAGTCTGTAATAGCAGTAGCTTGGGTGGCACACGCTACTACTAACAAAGTTAGTAGTAGCGCGGGTTCCTCCCACGCTACTACTAACTATTAGCTGTAGCGCCTTATTAGTAGCGCTGGTACCCGCGCTACTGATACACCTAAATCCCGCGCTACTGCTAGCCTTTTCCCTAGTAGTGGCGGCCCCGGCAGGTGTGGCGTCGCCGGCTTCAGCTCCCGGTGGCGTGGGCGCGGGTCGGTGTTTTCTCGGCCGTGCGGGCGGCGAGAGCCCCGGTGGATGCGGGCCGGCGCGCGGCGGCGGCGGATTCGTCTCCTGTCACGTCAGATCTGGCCGCCTCCATTCCCCTCTTCCCCAATGATCGCCTCCCCCTTCAGATCCGCCCTGTTTCGTCATGGGACTGCGCTCTTCTGCGGGTGGGAGTGGGCGATGGGGCTGCAGGACTGGGGGAAACCCCTAGCCAGCCATGTCGGTTGCAACGGCGGCGACGCCCGCGGGCGCCGCTCACCTTCCTAGAGGCGCCGGTCAGGTCCTTCCCCCCTACCCCCTTCCCCTTTATCTCCCGGGTGAAATCCTCAACATTGTTGGGCAGCGGCGACGCCCAGGGCGCCGTAACCTTCTTGAAGGCGCTGTTTTGGGAACAAAGATGGGTTGCGGGCTTCGTTGTGGTGTAGGTGGAGTGTCTCGGCGGCGGCAGTGTGTCTCCAGCGGCAGCGGTGTCCCCCTTGGTGTGTGGTCAAGCTGGTTTGGTGCTCTTCGTTGGGCTGCAGGGCTCCTTCGGTGCCCGTGGACTCTCCAGGACGGGAGGGGATAGGGTTCCCCTCCTCCGGTGGCTGCCCTTCTGCTCGTCGAGCGAGCCGAAGATTTGGTTTTGGCCCTTGCTGCTGCCCATTTGTGCATGCCGACAGCTCGCCCCGGTTTCATGCCTGGACTCTTGCATTTGGCGCTGCTCTGTTTCAGGTAAGTCGTCGTCGGCAGGCTAGGAACGCCTGGTTCCGCCCCTGTGGTTTCCTGTGATGCCATTCCTGCAGGTTCTAGGGTCACTGGTAGAAAAAGGGCCTGTTGTCCCGGTTCATAAGGGCCTTTTGTCCCGGTTCTGAAACCGGGAGTAAAGGGTCGGTACTAATTCCCTGTCCCTTTTGTCCCGGTTCAATCCAGAACCGGGACAGATGGGCCTCCACGTGGCCTGTGCACGGAGCCCAGGTAGGAGACCCTTTGGTCCTGGTTGGTGGCACCAATCGGGACCAATAGGCATCCACGCGTCAGCATTTCTGTGGCTGGGGTTTTTGTTTTTTTTGAAAGGAGGGGGTTTGGGTGGTTAATTTAGGTGTTTCATATATTGTGTTAGCTAGCTATAATTAATAGAGAGAAGTGTCCTCTCTTATGTCCGTGCTTGGTCGACGCTACGTACTATACATACGTATAGAGAGGACTAGACACGCTAGCTAGCTAGCTAGTAAGCAAATGAAGGAAACAGAAGATCGTCATGAACATATATGCATATAGAGAGAAGTGATATCAACCACCTCTCCTTCTCCGAGAGATTGGTCGAACAACAAGTTCTCGTATATCTATCCGACACTACCGGCTACATATATACAATAATTATCTCTTACAAATATAATCATACGGACTCAGGGTCCACATAGTATTCTCCGTCTTCAGCGATCACGTGGTCAAGAAAGAATGCCGCCAATTCCTCTTGAATTGCTCGCATGCGAGCTGGTGCTAGGAGTTCATCCCGCTTCCGAAACATCTAATTTAAAGAAGGGCGTCAATACATATATATATGAATGAATGAAACTCAACACAAATGATGGTAATAAAATAAAATTGTGAATGTTGTTATTTACGTACTTCATATTGTTCGTTAGTGTAGCCCCGCTCACAGGTCGTGTGGCGGATGGACTCGCAAACGTAGTATCCACAGAAATCATTCCCTTGTTCCTGCCACAACCACTTTACAATAAATAGAGGTCAATCAAACTGATAAGCAAGAATGCCAAATGGTATTGATGAAACTAGCGCTTGAATCACTAGTAGATGCGCGGAACATGCTACTATAGTACTTACTTTCGGGTGTCTAAATTGCAGCTCCTTCGGCAGTCCCAGAGCTTTTCTGGTGAATTTTCTCCAAACCCTGCCGGACAAAGAAAACAATTACTTGATATATCAGGAAATGAACAAAGTTGATGATATGGTGGATAATGATCGATTTAACTTACTTCTCGAGTATTTGAGTCATGTCTGCATAGTCCTGGGGATCTTTTCGTCTTGAGTCTAAGACGGTTACTAGTCCCTGCTCAAGCTTAATCTCTAGGAGAATATAGTGGAAACTGCACACGCATGCATAACTCATCAATTACATTACTATAACCTTGACTAATATTTAAGGAAAACCGAATACGCACAAGACAGTAACACTCACTTGAAGTTGTAAGGAAAGAGTATTATATCTTTGTTTTCATTTATTACCAACGATCGTAGCAAGTTGGCCTCGGTAGCTGCAGCATGAAATTTAACCTGAGTTGCATCTATGAGATATGTGTTAATGAACCCAATATCACCGACTTGTCTTTTCTTCAATTCGGCGATCTTCAATCTGCATAATATAGTGAGGATGATTATAAATACATGCAATCAAAGAGCTGAGCTATATAGAGAGACTTAATGACAGAAGTAGTACTACTTACAGACAGTAGCAGGCGACCGTTCTTTTATCGAGGGCCAATTGATTGAAAAACTAAAAGAACTCCTCAAATGGAACAGGCAACAGTTCAATTCCAACGAGGTCATGCTCCTTTTTAACTTTCACATACAAAGTACTCCTCCCCCCAGAGTCTTTGCAGATTTTCAAGTACCAATCATGCAATCTTCGCATCATCGTTGATAGAGATCTTTCATCTTTGACGAGAGGCTTCCCGTACTCGTATCTTTGTATCTGCACCTCCATGAAATCATAATGTACATCGTCGGGCAGGTAATCGCCAAGATTGCTATAACCGGGCACCATCCTCGGATCATTAGCGACGTTGTCGCTAGGCACCTTAAGCGGGGGGCACGATTGCTTAGCTTGTTCGCCGAGCTGGGCAATTTGTTTCCCAGCTCGTCGTTCTTTCAACCTTTGATCACTGACAGTACTTCCCGACCGCTCCGCTTTGGCAAATTCCTTTCCAATAATGCGCTCATAGTTTCCTTTCAGCGGAGACTTGTGTGGTTTTGTCAGGGCAGCCAGAGTGCGCTTCGCTTTCACCGGATCTACCTTCTCCTCCGAAGGTGGATGTTTCTTTGCTTTCACCCCTTCAAAGTAGTTCCTCACTTCTTCTCGTGCGATCTCGGCGTTCTCCTCCGGGGTCCTCTCGTATGGTAACTTCTATGGAGTCTTCAGAGAAGGACCAAATCTGTATTTCCTCCCGCCTCTGGCTGTACTGCTAGACGCCGGCCGAGCAAACAGAGCGGTTGTCTTCTTTACTTGCTTACGAGGCGGAGGAGAAGGACTACGACGCGCCGGAGCAGCCGGAGCGGCGGCAGGTCTCTTCCGCCCTTGCTGACGAGGTGGAGAAGGAGGAGGCTGGCTGCTCGGGCGCGTCGGCGCAGGCGGAGAAGGAGGCGGAGTGCCACCACGCGCTGGAGAAGGAGCCGGTCGAGTGCCCTGATCGTCACTCGCCGGAGGAGGAGGCGGTGGAGGAGGCGGAGTGCCCTGACTCACCGGAGGAGGAGGCGGTGGAGGAGGCGGAGTGCCCTGACATGCCGGAGGAGGAGGCGGTGGCGGAGGCGTCCAGTTCGGAAGGTTGATGAGATCCTTCCGCCATAGGCATGGAGTCTTCAGAGCAGACCCCAGCCTAGTCTCCCCTTCACCGGTAGGGTGGTCAAGCTGGAGGTCCTCAAATCCCTCCGTTATTTCATCCACCATCACCCTAGCATATCCTTCTGGAATCGGCCGCCAGTGAAAAGTTGCGCCGGGTTCAGTAGGATAAACAGAGCCAACAGCCACCTTGACCTTCAAATTCATCCATTGCGTCATAAGGTGGCAATTTTGAGACTCCGTGATAGCATCCACGGGATAGCTGGCAGGAGCCGTCAAGGCATGCTCCGGCTGAAGCAGCTCGGTGGAAGCCACGCTGCTTCTCCGCTGAGATGGCGGGGTAGCTTCGGGGGAAGCTTCGGTAGTACGTTTGCTGCGATTTGCTTCTCGTTCCTCTACTGCTTGTACCCTTGCTTGCAGCGCCTGCATTTGGGTCTGCTGCACTTTTTTCCTCCTCTCATGGGATTTGTAACCGCCTGCGTCCGGAAACCCAACCTTCCA